GAAAGTCTTCAAAAATAGAAAATAAGTACTCTCAAAAATAACTTTGGGTCCATGAGTTAGTACGACCTGATGATTTATCTTTTCTAGTCAAAATGGTCAATTGAAAGGGACTATAAATAATAATAAACATTATTTACCTCCCTGTATAGTTGGGTATCAATCATATCTAACTTATTCTAATACTTATTGAACAAATATTTTTGTAACACATTTCTACCAGTGAGTTGCTGATATTTATTACCTTACCCACTGCTACTCCATGAAATAAGTATACAGTGAAACCTGTGAGAGCCGGAACTCGACAGGACTGCCTTGTTTTTCCAGGTCTCACCAAGTTTTCCACCTTTGACAGGGTGCAGTCTTACAATTTTTCTATCACTCATTTTAGTGGAAAATATTTGAGTTTTCCTTTTCTGACAGATTTTGGCCATACAAGGATTCCGGCTTTCGCAAGTTTTACTATACAGGCATACCTCAGAGATATTGCAGGTCTGGTTCCAGATCACCACAATAAAGCAAATATCGCAATAAAGCAAGTTGCATAAATTTTCTGGTTTCCCAGTACATATAAAAGTTATGTTTATACTATAGTCTATTAAGTGTGCAATAGCATAATGTCTAAAAAAATGTACGTATCTTAATCAAAAAATACTTTATTGCTAAAAAATGCTTACCAACATCTGACCCTTCAGCAAGCTGTAGTCTTTTTGTTGGTGGACGGTCTTGTCTCAATGTTGATGGCTGCTGACTGATCCATGGTGGTGGCTGAAGGGTGGGGTGACTGTGGTAATTTTTTAAAATAAGACAACAATGAAGTTTGACGCATTGATTGACTCTTCCTTTCACGGAAGATTTCTCTGCAGCATGTGATGCTGTTTGATAGCATTTTACTCAGAGTAGAACTTCTTTCAAAACTGGAGTCACTCCTCTCAAACCCTGTCACTACTTTATCAACTAAGTTTACATAATATTCTAAACCCTTTGTTGTCATTTCAACAATGTTCACGCATCTTCACCAGGAGTAGATTCCATCTCAACAAACCACTTTCTTTGCTCATTCATAAGAAGCAACTCCTCATCCATTAAATTTATATCATGAGATTGCAGCAATTCAGTCATTTCTTCAGGCTCCACTTCTAATTCTAGTTTTCTTGCTATTTCTACCGCATCTGCAGTTACTTCTCCACTGAAGTCTTGAACCTTTCAAAGTCATCTATGAGGGTTGGAATCAGCTTCTTCCAAACTCCTGCTAATGTTGATATTTTGACCTCCTTCCATGAATCACGAATGATCTTAACAGGATCTAGAATGGTGAATCCTTTCCAGAAGGTTTTCAATTTACTTTGCTCAGATCCATCAGAGAAGTCACCATCTATGGCAGCTATGGCCTTACAAAATGTATTTCTTAAATAATAAGATTTGAAAGTTGAAATTACTCCTTGATTCATGGGCTGCAGAATGATGTCATGTTAGCAGGCATGCAAACAACACTAATCTCCTTGTGCATCTCCACCAGAGCTCTTGGGTGACCAGGTGCATTGTCAATGAGCAGTAATATTTTGAAAGGAACCTTTTCTATGAGCAGTAGGTTTTAAAAATGGGCTTAAAATATTCAGCAAACCAAGTTGTAAAAGATGTGCTGTCATCCAGGTTTTGTTGTTCCATTTATAGAGCACATGCAGAGTAGATTTAGCATAATTCTTAAGGGCCCTAGGATTTTTGGAAAGGTAAATGAGCATTGGCTTCAACTGAAAGTCACCAGCTGCATTAGCCCCTAACAAGGGAGTCAGCCTGTCCTTTGAAGCTCTGAAGCCAGGCATTGATTTCTCCCCTCTAGCTATGAAAGTCCTAGATGGCATCCTCTTCCTTATACGTGTATGTATAAGGCTGTTTCATCAATGTTGAAAATCTGTTCTTTAGTGTAGCCACCTTCATCAATTATCTTGGCTAGATCTTCTGGATAAAGTGCTGCAGCCTCTACATCAGCACTTGCTGTTTCACCTTGTACTTTTATGTTATGGAGATGGCTTCTTTCCTTAAACGTCATGAACCAACCTCTGCTGGCTTCAAACTTTTCCTGCAGCTTCTTCACCTCTCTCAGCCTTCATAAAATTGAAGAGAGTTAAGGCCTTGCTCTGGATTAGGCTTTGGCTTAAGGGAATGTTGTGGCTGGTTTGATTTTCTATCCAGACCACTAAAACTTTCTCCATATCAGGCTGTTTTGCTTTCTTATCATTCATGTGTT